AACGAGATGGCACACAGAGACCGCACACAGAGACCACACACAGAGACTGCACAGAGACCACACACAGAGACCACACAGAGAGACCGCACACAGAGACCGCACACAGAGACCGCACACAGAGACCGCACACAGAGACGGCACACAGAGACCACACAGAGACCGCACACAGAGACCACACACAGAGACTGCACACAGAGACTGCACACAGAGACGGCACGGCACACAGAGATCACACACAGAGACCGCACACAGAGACCACACACAGAGACCGCACACAGAGATCGCACACAGAGACCGCACACAGAGACCGCACACAGAGACCACACACAGAGACCACACACAGAGATCGCACACAGAGATCATATACAGAGACCGCACACAGACACGGCACACAGAGACCACACACAGAGACCGCACACAGAGACCGCACACAGAGACTACACAGAGACCACACACAGAGATGGCACACAGAGACCGCACACAGAGACCACACACAGAGACCGCACACAGAGACCGCACACAGAGACCGCACACAGAGACCACACACAGAGACCGCACACAGAGACCGCACACAGAGACCACACACAGAGACCGCACACAGAGACCGCACACAGAGACCACACACAGAGATGGCACACAGAGACTGCACAGAGACCACACACAGAGACCACACACAGAGACCACACACAGAGACCGCACACAGAGACCGCACACAGAGACCACACACAGAGACCACACACAGAGACCGCACACAGAGACCGCACACAGAGACCACACACAGAGACCGCACACAGAGACCGCACACAGAGACGGCACACAGAGACCGCACACAGAGACCGCACACAGAGACCGCACACAGAGACTGCACACAGAGACTGCACATAGAGACCACACACAGAGACCACGCACAGAGGCCACACACAGAGGCCGCACACTGAGACCACACACAGAGACCACACACAGAGACCGCACACAGAGACCATACACAGAGACCGCACACAGAGACCACACACAGAGACCGCACACAGAGACCGCACACAGAGACGGCACACAGAGACCACACACAGAGACCGCACACAGAGACCGCACACAGAGACCGCACACAGAGACCGCACATAGAGACCGCACACAGAGACCACGCACAGAGACCACACACAGAAGCCGCACACAGAGACCACACACAGAGACCACACACAGAGACCGCACACAGAGACCGCACACAGAGACCGCACACAGAGACCACACACACAGACCACACACAGAGACTGCACAGAGACCAAACACAGAGACCGCACACAGAGACTACACGGAGACCACACACAGAGATGGCACACATAGACTGCACAGAGACCACACACAGACACCACACACAGAGACTACACACAGAGACCATACACAGAGACCACACACAGAGACCGCACACAGAGACCACACACAGAGACTGCACACAGAGAATGCACACAGAGACGGCACGGGACACAGAGATCACACACAGAGACCACACACAGAGATCGCACACAGAGACCATACACAGAGACCGCACACAGAGACTACACAGAGACCACACACAGAGATGGCACACAGAGACCGCACACAGAGACCACACAGAGACTGCACAGAGACCACACACAGAGACCACACAGAGAGACCGCACACAGAGACCGCACACAGAGACCGCACACAGAGACCGCACACAGAAACGGCACACAGAGACCACACAGAGACCGCACACAGAGACCACACACAGAGACTGCACACAGAGACTGCACACAGAGATGGCACGGCACACAGAGATCACACACAGAGACCGCACACAGAGACCACACACAGAGACTGCACACAGAGATCGCACACAGAGACCGCACACAGAGACCGCACACAGAGACCACACACAGAGACCACACACAGAGATCGCACACAGAGATCATACACAGAGACCGCACACAGACACGGCACACAGAGACCACACACAGAGACCGCACACAGAGACCGCACACAGAGACTACACAGAGACCACACACAGAGATGGCACACAGAGACCGCACACAGAGACCACACACAGAGACCGCACACAGAGACCGCACACAGAGACCGCACACAGAGACCACAGACAGAGACCGCACACAGAGACCGCACACAGAGACCACACACAGAGACCGCACACAGAGATCGCACACAGAGACCACACACAGAGATGGCACACAGAGACTGCACAGAGACCACACACAGAGACCACACACAGAGACCATACACAGAGAACGCACACAGAGACCGCACACAGAGACCACACACAGAGACCACACACAGAGACCGCACACAGAGACCGCACACAGAGACCACACACAGAGACCGCACACAGAGACCGCACACAGAGACGGCACACAGAGACCGCACACAGAGACCGCACACAGAGACCGCACACAGAGACTGCACACAGAGACTGCACATAGAGACCACACACAGAGACCACGCACAGAGGCCACACACAGAGGCCGCACACTGAGACCACACACAGAGACCACACACAGAGACCGCACACAGAGACCATACACAGAGACCGCACACAGAGACCGCACACAGAGACGGCACACAGAGACCGCACACAGAGACCGCACACAGAGACCGCACACAGAGACCGCACATAGAGACCGCACACAGAGACCACGCACAGAGACCACACACAGAAGCCGCACACAGAGACCACACACAGAGACCACACACAGAGACCGCACACAGAGACCGCACACAGAGACCGCACACAGAGACCACACACACAGACCACACACAGAGACTGCACAGAGACCAAACACAGAGACCGCACACAGAGACTACACGGAGACCACACACAGAGATGGCACACATAGACTGCACAGAGACCACACACAGACACCACACACAGAGACTACACACAGAGACCATACACAGAGACCACACACAGAGACCGCACACAGAGACCACACACAGAGACTGCACACAGAGAATGCACACAGAGACGGCACGGGACACAGAGATCACACACAGAGACCGCACACAGAGACCACACACAGAGACCGCACACAGAGACCGCACACAGAGACCACACACAGAGACCACACACAGAGACCACACACAGAGTTCGCACACAGAGACCACACACAGAGATGGCACACAGAGACTGCACAGTGACCACACACAGAGACCACACACAGAGACTGCACACAGAGACCATACACAGAGAACGCACACAGAGACCGCACACAGAGACCACACACAGAGACCACACACAGAGACCGCACACAGAGACCGCACACAGAGACCACACACAGAGACCGCACACAGAGACCGCACACAGAGACGGCACACAGAGACCGCACACAGAGACCGCACACAGAGACCGCACACAGAGACTGCACACAGAGACTGCACATAGAGACCACACACAGAGACCACGCACAGAGGCCACACACAGAGGCCGCACACTGAGACCACACACAGAGACCACACACAGAGACCGCACACAGAGACCATACACAGAGACCGCACACAGAGACCACACACAGAGACCGCACACAGAGACCGCCACAGAGACGGCACACAGAGACCACACACAGAGACCGCACACAGAGACCGCACACAGAGACCGCACACAGAGACCGCACATAGAGACCGCACACAGAGACCACGCACAGAGACCACACACAGAAGCCGCACACAGAGACCACACACAGAGACCACACACAGAGACCGCACACAGAGACCGCACACAGAGACCACACACACAGACCACACACAGAGACTGCACAGAGACCAAACACAGAGACCGCACACAGAGACTACACGGAGACCACACACAGAGATGGCACACATAGACTGCACAGAGACCACACACAGACACCACACACAGAGACTACACACAGAGACCATACACAGAGACCACACACAGAGACCGCACACAGAGATGGCACACAGAGACTGCACACAGAGAATGCACACAGAGACGGCACGGGACACAGAGATCACACACAGAGACCGCACACAGAGACCACACACAGAGACCGCACACAGAGACCGCACACAGAGACCACACACAGAGACCACACACAGAGACCACACACAGAGATCGCACACAGAGACCATACACAGAGACCGCACACAGAGACTACACAGAGACCACACACAGAGATGGCACACAGAGACCGCACACAGAGACCACACACACAGACCGCACACAGAGACCGCACACAGAGACCACACACAGAGACCGCACACAGAGACCGCACACAGAGACCACACACAGAGACCGCACACAGAGACCGCACACAGAGACTACACAGAGACCGCACAGAGACTACACAGAGACCACACACAGAGATGGCACACAGAGACTGCACAGAGACCACACACAGAGACCACACACAGAGACCACACACAGAGACTACACAGAGACCACACACAGAGATGGCACACAGAGACTGCACAGAGACCACACACAGAGACCGCACACAGAGATCGCACACAGAGACCGCACACAGAGACCGCACACAGAGACCACACACAGAGACCGCACACAGAGACCACACACAGAGACCACACACAGAGACCACACACAGAGATCGCACACAGAGACCATACACAGAGACCGCACACAGAGACTACACAGAGACCACACACAGAGATGGCACACAGAGACCGCACACAGAGACCACACACAGAGACCACACACAGAGATGGCACACAGAGACCACACACAGAGACCACACACAGAGACCACACACAGAGATCGCACACAGAGACCATACACAGAGACCGCACACAGAGACTGCACAGAGACCACACACAGAGACCGCACACAGAGACCACACACAGAGACCGCACACAGAGACCACACACAGAGACTGCACAGAGACCGCACACAGAGACCGCACACAGAGACCGCACACAGAAACATGCTGGTTGCCTTCCAACAAGTAGTCTCCGTTGGACACCAAAGCCGAAAGTTTGCATGATTCTCACCCATCATGAAATATGATTCTTCCTCTGTTTTTTTTTTCAACCATTTAAATATGTAAAAACCGCCCTTAGTATGCGGGTCACATGCCAATCAGCAGCATGTTGGTTGGCTCATAACTGGGTTTACCAACCCCCTGGGCAGACACCAAACAAACGTCTCAGGGCCAGCGCTGTGGCACAGTGGGTAAAGCCGTTGCCTGCAGTGCCGGTATCCCATGCAGGCGCCAGTTTGAGTCCCGGCTGCTCTGCTTCTGATCCAGTTCCCTGGGAAAGCACCAGCTGTTGGTCCAAGCCCTTGGGCCCCTATTACAAGTGTGAGAGACCCAGATGACGCCACCGGCTCCTGGATTCAGCCTGGCACAGCCCTGGCTGTTGCAGCCATCTTGGGGAGTGAACCACCAGTGGAAGAGTTCCCTCTCTTCTCTCTGTGTCTCCCTCTCTCTCTCTCTCTCTAATTCTGACTTTCAAGTAAATAAATAAATCTTAAAAAATAAATGTCACACATACACACGAATCACCATATAAAGACATATGCATTCACAAATCCACACATCCGGTATACAAACATAGAGACACCACATACACACACACGCTAAGTGCACACACATCCATATATTCACACAAGTAAGGACACACATGGATACATGGGGCACACACACCCCACACATGTGCACACCGCCCATGCCCGCTGGGAGAGGAGCCTTCTGCCTGCCTACGTTTCACCTGATCCAATGCAATTTTCATTTTCTGTGAAAAAGAAAACAAGTGGATCAACTGTAATTTTTAAAATTAGTTTTTGATTTAGACAATAACTTGCTATTATCTCAACCACCTCAGACTTGATTATCCATGAAATTGAAGCATGGTATTATCCACTGTTCCCAAATTGAGTTACCCGGTGAAATAGCGCACCGTCCTGTGGCTGCAGAAGACGAGTGGGATCAATACCTCTGTGCTGCGTTTCCCCGCGGACCTTCCGGGAGCCCTATCAATTCTCCCCCATGTCAACTGGCGTGATCACGAGGCAGGGCACAAATCTCCCCGGCGGAAGATGTGGGCAGGGCATCCATCCTGACAAAGCCGCCCCAGTGCCAGCGGGCGCTGAACTCCACGGTATTTTTAGACAAGATTCCGCCCTGTGCAGGAAAGACCAGCCCCAGCCTGCTACTGCCGCAAACCACATCGTGGCCGGCAGAGCCCCTGCTGCCGAAGTGCTGCCCGGGGACTGCCCCTCCAGGCCACAGTGTCCTTGGCGTGATTCGCAGTCTGTGCCAGGTAAGAATTAAATATTTACCATCTGCCGAAACGCAGCTCCCTCCCCGGGCCACAGGGACGAGGGCAGCCTGCACGTGCTCGGATCGAACGAGGTGGTTGGTGACAGACGGGCCATCTCAGCTAAGGATGGGGTGTGCATGTGTGCGTGTGTGTGTGTGCATGTGTGCATGTGTCTCTGTGTGTACGTGTGTATGCATGTGTGTACGTGTGTGTGCATGTATGTATATGTGTGTGCACATGTGTGAGTGTGTGCGTGTGTGTGTGTGGCCATCTGCCACAAGGGACTCCAGACGTCCACCATCTTGTCCTCCTGGGCCCCAAGAATCTCAGCCCCTCATGTTCAAGGCAGCCCATTGCTCCCCTGCCAGCGACGCCCACTTTGGGTGGTGGCTTCTGGCTTTGGGGAGGGAGCCGTGGAGCGCTACTAGGCAGAGTCTCTCTCCCTCTGATTTCACACCCACGCTGCCCACTCCCTGGATTCAGCTTCCTAAATGTCCTGCGTGCCTCTTCACATCTGTCGTCGACCCAGCTCAGCCCTCCCGGGGGACTGCCCTGTGGGGACCACAGCATTTGGCTCCCGGGGCTGACTGTGGCCAAGGGGTCGCCAGGGCAGGAGATGGCCAGGATTTGGGGGAAGGCAGGAGTCTTGGTGACCAGGACTCCCTCCCTGCTGGGCTTCCAGGCGTCATGGTGCTTGTGTTCCTCTGCCCGAGCCCCTGCAGCGGTTAGAGGCCTTCTCCTACACACCTGGCAACCGGGCCCTGCCCGTAGGGACTGCTCTGGGGCTGCGAGACCACCACCCATCGAGACCCTCGTCACACTCCCCTCGTTTTGCTTCCAGTCTCGCTCTCACCTGATTCTCCTATCTCTGAACTCTTCAAGTTCTCGTCCGTTCCGCAGAGAGCGACCCCGCTCTGATGCAGGTGGGGGTGTTCTGGCGTGGGTGGTGGGGCTGGGCGTTAGCACAGCACCCCTGCATGCTCTGCGTCACCCACTCTCCCTCTGTGTCATTAAACTCGGGGGAAGGGGCCGCCCACCAGGGCCGCCCAGCAGTTTTGTAGGCTCAGGGCCACACACAGCAAGTACTTCTTTCCATCTCCAAACAGCTTCAAGGAGTTGATGTTACCCACTTGGGTCTTACCCCAAGTAGTCCACGGATGCTCCTGACCCCTCGGGGTAGGCTGGGAATTGGACAGACTGTCCAAGGTCAAAGCTCCTGGGTGGGGCAGGCAGATGTGGCTGCCCTGGTGAGATTCTGTAACCCAACACTTTGAGGACGATTCACTGAAATGAACTCACAGTCTCCTCAGCCATTCATTAGCAGAGAGCAGCATTAATCTTTCTGAGAAACAGCCTTGACCGTGAGGTCTGGCTGTGATTGGCTTCTGTCACCCCAGCTGCTGAGCCCCGCCTCCGCGCTCCGCAGTGCAGAAGCGCGAGACGATACCGCCGCATCAGCAGAGCACCACTTTCAGTCCAGAGCCGCCTTGGAGTTTGCAGAATTCCTAAGTAGAAGCTGGCTGAACGCATGGAGATAACATTGAAGAAAACAGCGCTTGTGTGAAAGGACCCATCCGCACACGTCAAGGCCATTTCCAAGTAGCTACGTCCAGAGCAGCCCCCGAGGGGACCTGCAGCAACACGGGAGCCCGCCTTCTGCATCGTCCAGCTCCGTAGCCGCTGGCCACAGACAGCTGCTGGACACGTGAAACGTGTCTGTGCCGTGGAGGAGCTGGATCTTACCTTTTGTTTAGCTCCAACAACTTAGATTTAAATAGCCCTGTGTGTCCACGGTGTGGTTCCAGATAGCACTGTTCAGATAACAAATCATCTCTTACGAAATGCCCTTTAAGAAGCCTCCGTCCTGGAGTAAAATGCAGTCAGAAGAACCTGTGCATTACTGATACGGAAAAAATCCCCAGCCCCTGGTAAAGGAAAACAATAAGCTCAGATTAAGCGGGAGAAACTTCTATGAAAAAATTATTTAACGTTGTCCCCCAGGATTCAAAACTGAAAATTCCATTATATTTTATATGCAACCCCCTTGACCCCTAAAACAACAACAAATGGTTCTTTGAGCAGGTTGATAACAAATATTCATTATATTCAGTATACTGCCTTCCTCAATATTAACCTGTCTGATGTCAGTGTTTAAAAATGCTTGTAGCATATGAGCTCCTGTAAAGGTTATGAAAGACATAACCAAGGCTGACAGTGTGGCAAAGCAGGTTAAAGCCCTGGCCTGCAGTGCCAGCATCCTCTGTGGGCCCTAGTTCCAGTCCCAGCTGCTCCACTTCCGATCCAGCTCCCTGCTAATGCACCTGGGAAGACAGCAGAGGATGGCCTGAGCCCTTGGGCCCTTGCAGCCACATGGGAGACCCGGAGGAAGCTCCTGGCTTCAGGTGAGCTCAGCTCCGGCCATTATGACCATTTGGGGAGTGAACCAGCAGATGGAAGACCTCTCTCTCTGTCTCTGCCTCTCTCTGTAACTCTTTCAAATAAATAAAATAAATCTTTAAGAAAGACATAACCGAGATGACATCTGCCTTGTCTTGGGCTCTGGAGTCTGTGGTGGCTTTAGGGAAGGGACGATCAAGCAGAGGAGAGCACTTCCAGGCTCTTTGTATCCACCCAAGAATGGCTGTGGGAGAGAGGACGCATTGGCAGGGGGAAAAGATATCCATAGGATACACAAGAATCTCAGTGTTAAGCCAGTGAATTGGGAATTTTCCCACAGAAAACACTCAGCACAGTGATACAGCGATATTCAAGGATTCTTGAGAGTTTTGCATTGCAGATCTACCTCCAGGAACAGAGACATCACATTAGAGATCCATCACATTAGAGACCCAGTCATGAAAGAGATGACATTTTGTCAGCATCCCTTCATTTTGTCAGTGGTGATATATAAATAATTTGGCCACCTGTAATGCATGAACATCTCCCAATCAGAACTTTTATTGTATGGGCACCAACCAATCAGAATGGCTACTTTATGGGGATCAGCCAATGAGAACAGATAACCAGCACAGCTCCACTTTGTGTCAGGAAGTAACCCTCACTTTGGCTGTTGGTTTATAGGAGGCGGTCCCAGGGTGGGGGCAGAATGAGCTCTAAGCTCCTAAGAGTATTTTACTCGTCACGGTGCTGGAAGATGTCTGCCATTCACTGGGTTCGTAGCAGGAGGAAGAGCCTCGTCCCGAATCGGCACCTCCCCCTCAGCAGCTTGAAGGAATTCATTCAAATCTTGGCACTTTGTAAAAGTCAGATTCAGCTTTGGCAATGGCATGATTTGGCATGGGGTGGTCAGGGCGGTCACTACATATTAACCAGCGAGAAATCTACGCGGACCAGCTCAGAGTCGGCCAACCTCGCAGGCTGGCTAAGTTGCGCGTGAAGAGGTGGGGTGGGCGGGGAAGGTCACTGAGATCCCCTTCGTGAAAAGGGAGGAGGCGGCCATTGCGTTCCCAATACCAGCTCCCGGCTGGCTTTGGATGGGGCAGGCGCACAGGAGTCTCAGACAAACAGGGAGGAAGATGGGATCGCGTGTCACAGGGTCTCCTGGTCCCCTCCCTGGAAAAGGCAGGCGCCAAAGCACAGAATTCTTACACTGCCACCTGCGTGGAGAAAGTCAAGACAGCAGCCGGAGGGTTTGCTCTTATCAGGCACCACAGGGCTCATCTGCAGCTCCTCCCAGGCGTTTGTGGAACCTGAAGTCCATCGCCTAAAGGCGTCATCCACGTGTGATTCTTGTGAGGATGAGAACAAGCCGGACAAGGAAGCAGGCTATGAGGAGCCCGGATATCAGCCCTGGAATTTATTCTCATGTTTAACCCATTGATCGCTGATTGACCCGATTTTTAGCCTCTTATCTCACGGATGATATGCAGTAATGCCCCTCCTTATTAAGCGCACATAAATAAAATCTGAGTATGGTTTAAGACGATAAAATCCTTCTAAACGCCCCGGAAGAATGGAAACTCTGTTCATTGGATTAGCAGTCCGGAGTGTTGAGAAAAACATGTGATGCAGCTTTTCCTTAGCAACTTCACGGAATTCACTTAAACTTGAAACATTCAAAAGTCAAATTCGACTTTGGGACCTGGGAATCTCGATTCCTTCTCTCGCAATACAGCAGCGGGCCCCGCGGCTCCCGTGTCACCTGTTCGAGGGGCGATGCTGGCAAAGCTGAAGACGGGCGTCAGCCAAGTGCAGGGTGGAGGCCTGAGGAAGCCTCCCCTATACCAGCGTCACGTTCCTGACCTTCCAGGGACCAGCCGCGTGAACGGAAAGCTGCGGCCGACTCTCGGAGCGGGGCCAGTGCGGATCCGGATCCTGGAAACCAAAGGAAAACCACGGATGCGTCAGTGGCCATCACAGCCGAATGCGCACTGGAGAAGGGAACTGCACCCATCAGCCACGACAGAGGGGCCGACGCGTTGAACCGCGCCTCTCCTTCCTTCCATTGTTCGCAGTCACACACACTCCAAATGTTTTCCAATCAGGCTCCAACAAGTAATCCCATTCGAAGAATCCAACCATTGTGTTTACGAATGCAAATGTCTACAAAGAGGCACCGTTTTATTTCCTCTCTCATTTTTCTTACGGAAGTTCTAGCTTCGCTATGAACATATAAAGAATTACTAAACTTCTTTAAATAACACACATTTCTATTCAAGGGAAGGGATAGCATCAAAGAACTGACTTGAAATAGATCACCCATCTGGCTGCTTTGGCATACGGGAGCTGGCTCCCAGCAGGAGGGAGCGTGGTGTTGCCATGACCATTCAGAAATACGATGCCAGACCAACCCCTGAGCCTGCAGGCAGAGCCAAGGCCCCTGTTACCCTTGTCCTCAGCTCTTTGCGCCAGCCCTGAGGATGCCAGCCCAGACGTCCGGGCACGGTACCTGCATTTAACATCTTAAGTAATGTCGCGGGGCACAATCAATTATTTACCTTGCTGCGGCATGTTAGTGCGTCTTGCGGGTAGAATCGTTCTTGCTGTGGTTTTAATTTATTGACTCCCAGTAACACGAGGGAGCCCAGGCGGCTGATGTCCCGTTTCAGCGAATGCTGCAGAAATGTGGGCCTTTACTGTGCGTAGGCTCAACATTGGGGCCACCGCTTTCTTTTGTTTGCACTGCTGGATTGCACACATGCCTTGCAGTTCACAAATGGGCTGCTGTTTTCTGAACTCATCAAGAGTTTAATTCTGTTTCTCTCCATAGAGGGAGTGATGGCTGATGAAGCCTCCACCCAGCTTTCAAATTTTTCATTTGCTCCCCGCCCCAAAACACAAAAAGGGCAAAATTCCTAAAACCGCCAGAATAAATGACTGACAGCGAGTTCAGACATAGCAAGAGAGGGGGAAAGGAGGACCACTTGTTTTAAATATTCCAGGTGCAAAATGCGTGCAAAGTCCATGGCCTCACAGAAAATGAAGGAACTGGCCTCTCCCATGAACTGTAATTTTTTAATAAAAGTTTTCAGTTTTTATTTTAGTGGGTTGTGTCCCCAAACATTTTTTCAAGTTGCAAGTTGGTTGCACTTTAATTTTAACTTCCTTCTTTATTCCAAAAACAATTGCCCAGTGGTTAAGGTTAGGACTAAGGTTAGGGTTAGGGTTAGGGTTAGGGTTAGGGTTAGGGTTAGGGTTAGGTTTAGGCTTAGGGTTGGGGTTGGGGTTAGGGTTAGGGTTAGGGTTAGGGTTAGGGTTAGGATTGGGGTTAGGGTTAGGAGTTAGAGTTAGGGTTTAGGGTTAAGGTTAGGATTGGGGTTAGGGGTTAGGGGTTAGGGTTAGAGTTAGGGTTAGGGGTTAGGGGTTATGGTTAGGGTTCATTGTATTTAGCATTAGGGTTTAGGGTTAGTGTCAGGATTGGGGTTAGGGTTTAGGGTTAGGGTTAGGGTTAGAGTTAGAGATTAGGGTTAGGGTTAGGGTTAGGGTTTAGGATTTAGGGTTAGGGTTAGGGCTAGGGTTAGTGTTAGGATTGGGGTTAAGGTTTAGGGTTAGGGTTAGGGTTAGGGGTTCGGATTAGGATTGAGGTTAGGGTTAGGGTTAGGGCTTAGGATTAGGGCTTAGAGTTAGGGTTAGGGTTACAGTTACAGTTACGGATAGGGGTTAGGGTTAGGGTTAAGGTGGGGTTAGAGTTTAGCATTAGCATTTAGGGTAAGGGTTAGGGTTAGGATTGGGGTTAGGGTTAAGATTAGGGGTTACGTTTATGGTTAGGGTTGGGGTTAGGGTTAGGGTTTCAGTTACAGTTAAGGTTAGGGGTTAGGGTTAGGGTTTAGAGTTTAAGGTTAGTGCTAGGGTACTGTAACAGTAAATTTAGCAATAATATATGTAATTGATTTTTTAAAGAACTGCCCTGGCTTTATATCTGGGGATCTTAGAGTTCATGGAAAGTGGGATTGATGCTGAGTCTATGGAGTGGGACTTTAACCCAGGGATTTAGACACCAGCATCCCACACTGCAGCGCCTGAGCCCACCACCGGCTCTGGCTCTGGCTCCCAACTCCAGCTTCCTGTCGATGCAGACGCTAGGAAGAATGGTGATTGCCGGGTCCCTGCCACCCACACTGGAGACTTGGACTGAGTTCTTGGCTCCCAGCTGCTGGTCCAGCCACGGCAGCTGAGGGCACTTGGGGAATGAATCAGCAGAAAGGAGATCTCGGTCTGCCTCTGTCTCTGTGTCTCTGTGTCTCTCAAATAAATAAATAAAAAAAAAGAAGAAAAACTTGGCTGCAAACATTTTGAAATGTGTGCCTACAGGGATTCTTCAAAAATTCACAAAAATGCATATTACAAAACAATACTGCATGGATTTCAAAGAAATTTTGCACAAAAAATAAAATATTTTAAATTCATTTTCTGCACAGACATTCTGAAGTACCCTCATTCATCAGCTTTGAAAGATCAATCTCCTTCTTCCTCCTGGTCCTCGCTGCGACTCAGTGCCTGACCGCGTGTCTCTGCCACTCGACATCTCATTGCTCTCCCTGCTCCCGAATGCAGCGTGGCTTAGGGCTGCAGCGGCACTGCGGTGACCACGGACCGGGGAGTCTGTGGGTGCCAAGACCTTGCATTCGGCATTGAGTCAGCACCCGAGGCCTGCCTGGCAGCGAGCTAGGTGCTGCGGGGCTGTGAGGTGCAGCAGTGAGGCAGCCCCGGGAACTCAGCGCTCTCCCTTGGAAGCAACGCTGGCCACGTCTGTCGCGCTTTCACGCTGGGGCACACAAACACTCGCCTCAAAGACATCACCGGGGGCACGGGTGATCAGTTCTTTGGTCCCAAAGACTCTCATTCAGAAAGTCTGGAAGCAGCCAAGAAGTTTGCATTTTACAAGCACCCAGAGCACTGTGGGTAGCCTGCTGAGGGTCACAGACACAGGTGTTCGTGGGCGCTGGGTGCAGGCCCACGTTCAGAATGCATTCTCTGGGGAAACAGGGACCCGGGATTCACAAGTCCCCATCGCTGCCAAGTGGTGGCAGGAGTGAGTGCTCAGGAAAGACCGCGCCAAGGGAGGGGCGTTCAGGCGGCAGTGAGCAAGGGCCAGGGCTGCAGGCACCTGGGGACCAGGTGCTCCGAGACCTGTGACGGCTCCCCACTGCATCAACCCAGCACCATCGATAGATCTGACCCCCGGCAGCCACCATCAACCATGGCTTCAGACCACGGCAGCCACCATCCTTTGGTACAGCCCTCCACCCCCGGCCTGTGCCCTTTCACATTGTCCCTGACACCAGCCCTCACTCTCCTGGTGGCTTCCAGCATCCAGGCAAAGGGGCAGAAAGGGCTGAGAAGTGAGTTTCCCTGCCTTGTCCCACCTCCAGGCCAGCGTGGGCCTCCGGGATCAGGACCACCATCCAGGGACAAAGGGATGGAAGGACAGAGCCAGCACTGTGGCATAGCAGGTAAAGCCAACGTTTGCAGTACTGGCATCCCATATGGGCACTGGTTTGAGTCCTGGCTGTCCCACTTCCAATCCAGCTCTCTGCTGTGGCCTGGGAAAGCAGTGGAAGATGGCCCAAGTCCTTGGGCCCCTGCACCTGCGTGGGAGACCTGGAAGAAGCTCCTGGCTCCTGGCTTCGGATCCGCGCAGCTCTGGCCGTTGCAGCCACCTGGGGAGTGAAGCAAGGGATGGAAGACCTCTCTCTCTCTCTCTCTCTCTCTCTCTCTCTCTCTCTCTCTCTCCCTCCCCTCTCTCTGTGTAACTCTGACTTTCAGATAAATAGAGGCAGGTGCAGCAGCAAATGAGGAGTTTCTGCCCCTCCTGAAAATTAGAACGCCAGGCTGTGTTTCAGTGCCTGGTAGGCGTGGGCTGCCGTCACAGCTGGGTGTGGGGGTCAGGATGAAGGCGTGTGTGCGGAGACTCACAGCCGGCTCCTGGAACCCAGGGAGCAGCCCACAAACACTCCTGCTCCCCACGCTGTCCACAGCCCTAAGCTGGAGTGCACACAGCCTCGGGCGCTCTGGGGCTGCACTTCCCTTATTCACAGGAGAGTCACCAGGGCTCCAGGCAGATGTGGCCTGAGCAGACATCAGCAGCCCTGGGAGGAGTCCACATCGAAGGGCCGGTCACCAAGAACACTTCGGGACGTGGAGCAAATCTTAATTGCTGTGCGTCCATGGGGCGGAACAAAATGAGGAAGGAGGCGACGCAGCATTTGGAGGCCCGCTGTACCGTGCACAATGCCCATCACCGTCATGCTGCAAGGCACCTTGCAATCCTTACGCCGAAACACACGCTAGAACCGCACCTGGTCATTCCCAAGTGCAGAAATGGTCAGACGCGTCCCCATCCCTTCCGACCCAGGAGGCCGAGAGATGGGGACCAAGAATGGGAGCCTCCCAGTGGCTTCATGGGTGACGCCAACACACCTGGGCTACAAGAAAACAGGGGACCGTGGAGAAAACCAAAGGCCCCAGGCCACAGAGGAGGGAGGTGGAAACTGGGAGTGGGATTATTTCACTTTTGGCAGTGACTGGGAGAGCAAGGTTATTCTTAGGTCATGACACCCACCTAGGCCTGCCTAACAATACCTCTCGCCTGAGCTGGACTGCCACTCACAGCAAAGGTGTGTGGCTGGGTGAGAAAGCACTCATCATCACACCTTGCTGTGACAGTGACAATGCCGGGCATTGCCCACATCCCCCACCTTAACGAATCACTGTTCCCTGAGCCCGAGGGAACCCCGGGCTACATGGTGCCCGGGCTACACGGTGCGCAGTCAACAGTCAGCCGGTAAACTTGACCTTCAGAAACACCGAAGATGAGCAGACCACTAGCAGAGGCACCAAGCAAGCAGGCTGCCCGACCAGGATCATCCATTAGCACACAGCCTGGGCGTTAATGGCTGTGGTACCCGCTGTGTCCCCACGGGGAGGCCATTTATCGAACTCAACTAGCCCCACAGCCGCCAAAATCGGGAAGGGCATTTGCAGCGGGCTGCCTTGCCGCTGGGGACCGCTCGGTTTAATCTGCAGGCTTCCGAGTCTGAGCACAGCGAGGGTTTCTACGGAACGGTGCGCTCTGTGGTCAGCAGTCCTGAACCGCAACAAGCCGGCCAGCGAGGCAGGAGCCCCTCGAGCCAACAGCTCTGGGCCTGAGAGGTTTGCACGCACGGAAACTGCCCGCAGCAGCCTGGGGCCCTGTGACATATTGGAGCCACACTGAGACAGGCAGAGAGAGGACAAAGGACTGAGCTTTCTCTCTAGGGCTGTCAGCGAGCAGGTTCAGGGCTGAATGGAGGGAGGCTTTGAGGACACAGGAGAGCCCTGCGGATGGCTCTCACTGGCCCGCACAGCAAGAGCTCCCACCACACTCCGGGCCGGGTTGCAGGGCCCAGTCTCCGGGAAGTTCTTAGAAGGAACCAGCGTGCTGTGGGTCAGCTTGACCTTCAGCAAGCTGCAGCTTGGCCACACCAGCAGCTCTCAAATGGCCAGCTGACCGCATACAGGGTTCTGTCCACTTGGGATCATGGAACACAGAAGGGAATGGTCATGTCCCATCCTGCTCACTTCCTACTCTCAGAGCTTTCTGGGAACACAGCCCATGGTGCACCTTGCATCCAGGTTTTGCAACTGGTCGACCCAGGCGGAGCCGATGCCTGGGCCCAGGCCTGCAAAGTCACCCTTCGCTCACCATCAAAGACGGGCCTCTTCAGAAGAGCTTGTAGAAAGATCCGGCAAGTTGCTGACTGCTGGTCGGTTCCCAGCCCGGGCAAAGACCCTCCACCTTCCTGGACGCCTGGCCGGTTTATTAAGGAGCTTCCTGCTCTCTCCTGAAATGCGTGACTCCACCAAGAAGCCTCGCAAGCCTTTGACACACACCAGTGTGCCTCCGCGGTCACTCTCTCCACCTGTTCCACTGGCTCTGTGTTTCAACAGCAGAAATCTCTTAAATTTCCCTCCCTGTGGATTTTCCATGCATGCACTTGGAGCTTCACGAAGCATCGCTCAGAGCCCCCCGAGGTGCCATTCTCATTCCTGTCTACAGAGGCACCCAGCGTGCCCCTGGCCCTCGTCTGTGCCGAGGGCGTTTCGAAGGGAATTCTCCGGCAAGAATCGGCTGAGTCTCCTCCCCGCCGCCCCAGAGCCACGCACCGGGCTCGTCTCCTGCAAACACAGCCACAGAGCCGTGGGTGCTTCAGTGGGAAGAACCGAGAACCTGTCCAGTTTTTAGTCAATCCCTCTGGCTCCAAACGACATGCACCGGAAGATCCAGGGGCCTCGGAGAGCGGCCTTAGCGGGAGGAAGTCCTCCTCTCCGCTTCCCTGCCACCCAGCCCGACAAAGAGCCAGAACTCAGGCCAGTCGTGCCACAGACTTGCGTGTGTCTTCCCGCCTGGCGAACTGCGCTGCCGCCGATCACATCCTGGAGGTTTTCCCCGTGCACGGCTGGGCTTCGGTCAGGGCTCGCGTCCTCCCTGAACGCCCAAAAGGCTTGCATCACCGCCAAGACAGACGCGTTCCGCGGACTCCAACCACAGCCACGGGAGGGACAGGACGGCCCGGGGCGACCCAAAAACTCCAGCAGTCCCCCAGACCAAGAGCGAAAGATGCAGCGTTGCAAAGACACCTGTGGGCGCTGAGGCCTCTGAGGGACAGCAGCTCCTGCACACAGCCTCCGGCCCAGCGCTGCCAGGAAGCAGGTCTGGGAGGCTGGCTTCTCCGAAAGCCACCCGGGGAGAGCTGCCTTGCTTAGCCAGGACTCCACTGCGGAGTCGCAGGTGACGCCTCTCATTCAACACTGGATTTGCACAGGTCACGGAAGGGAGTTGGTCATGTAGGTCTCGCCTCATACAATTTTTGGGGGCACATGGAAAGTTCACTCCCAGATGGCAGGCAAGGCTGACTGTGCAGGGCGCTCACACACTCTGCGAGGGGACAGCACCCCCACCCCACCCACCCAGCGCTGCACGGCGGCTCAGCACGGCTGCAGCCCCTGCCTCTCCCTGCGCCTCCAGGTGCACGTCCCACATCCCCCTGCGGGTGTCTACCACACCCCTAAGGTCAACAGGCTCCAAGTTCAGCGTCTGATCCCCTACCCCCACTGCCTCCCCACCGCGGTGGGTGGCACCTCCAGCCTCCCGGGGCTTCCTCAGTCACCCAGAAGTCCTCCCTCACCCCTCCATTTCTACTCCTGACAGAATTTCCCAGCTCCCCAGCTCACGGGCTTAGATCCTCTACAAAGACCCCTGCTCCTCAAACCCAGCACCCAGCACCCTGCTGCAAGCCAGCGGCCCCCCTGGGCCCCAGGGTAGACAGATGTCCCAGGAGAACAGAGCAGGCTCACGTCCTGGGAGAGCCTGGCTCCCAGAGCACCCAAGGTGAATTACTCCGCATTGCTCATTATCGCACCGGCTCAGACTGCAGACAGAAACTCGGCCCCAAGCGGGCCCCAGCCTCCTCCCGGGTCTGCAGCCTCTTGCAGGAGGACACAGACCAGGTCTCGGCCCCGCCTCTCCACATGGACAAGAGCCGCGGCTCCGTTCCACCACGCATCACAACACGCACCATCACGCAAGCACCGCACACACACGGGACTGCTTAAAGGGTGGGGAAAGTGGTGGTGGTACATCACCTGAGGATGGTGACCGCTGCTCCGCGGCTCCGGCACCTGGACTTCCCCGGACCTGGGAGGGCGCGAGGCAGCCCCTGCAACGGAGGAAAATGCCAGAGTGAGCGGTGCCAGACACAGCTGCTCTCACCGAGACACGCGCTGGCCTCTGGGTACCGCTCCTGGCGGAAAGGGAGCCTTAAGCATAGATGGATTTTTTTAATTCCCTTGAGAGCATATAATCTGGAAAATTTTCAGAAGACTGACTCAACGTCAGTTCCTCTCTTGACACGCGAGCGTCTTCCAGAGACAAAAGAATCCTTAGCTAAAAGAGGTGGAGGGGTTCGCTCTGGGCCATCCTTTTGGTCAAGATACAAATGAATAAATATTCACTCGTGGAAATCTGAAGTCATTTTGTCAGTGGAAAGCAGCCATGCTTCGTGGGAGTGTGAAAGCCCACGACGCAGAACGCATGTGGCATGATCGGATCAGAAGAGTGGGACCGTTGGGGGCAGAGTCCCCGGAAGGCTCCCCAGGTAGGGCTGACCGGCTACAAACCTCCCAGGGAAGCTTTGTGCCAGTACCCTGTGCGGGCCGAGTGCTGCATTCACCCTGCTCCAAAGGTAACCAACAGCCCCACCCTGCACCCACCTACAAGTCTGACGGCTGGGATGTTGCCTTCAGAGATCCCCACCAACCAGGACTCTGGAGGAAAACGAGAGCCTACAGAGACATTTTTTTTTTTTTTTTTTGACAGGCAGAGTGGACAGTGGGAGAGAGAGAGAGACAGAGAGAAAGGTCTTCCTTTGTTGTTGGTTCACCCTCCAATGGCCGCTGCGGCCGGCGCTCTGCGGCCGGCGCACCGCGCTGATCCGATGGCAGGAGCCAGGAGCCAGGTGCTTCTCCTGGTCTCCCATGGGGTGCAGGGCCCAAGCACTTGGGCCATCCTCCACTGCACTCCCGGGCCACAGCAGAGAGCTGGCCTGGAAGAGGGGCAACCGGGACAGAATCCGGCGCCCCAACCGGGACTAGAACCCGGTGTGCCGGCGCCGCTAGGCGGAGGATTAGCCTAGTGAGCCACGGCGCTGGCTGAGACAGAGACTTTCAAAGGGGCCTTATGCTGCAGCCGACACCAGCTCCCTGGTCAGTGGAATGGGAACAGGTATCCTGCTGGCAACACGTGGGGGCTGGGAGTCATCTGCAGCCGGCTGAAAAGCCTCCCACACAATGGAAAGTCTTGAAAGAAAGAAAAAAGCGTGGAGGACAGAAACACAGAAAGTATTTTGCAAAACTGTTGTGTCCACTTCGTTTTATTTTAAGCTTTAGACAAATAAGTAGCTTCTTTTTCTTACTATTAAGCTAATCAAAATATTCCTCATTCTCAAACTTCTCCTTCTACAAGGTCATCCAGGAGGTACTGACCCCTCCCAGCTGGGGACCCGTCAGCCAGCCTTTCTCCCAACCCCACCCTCCCCTCCCGGCATCACCCCACCTGCAGTCCTGGGTTCATCTGAACTGTATCCACGGTTTTCATTGCCACTCTTTAAGTTCGGCTCAGAAGTTTCTTTGTTTGTCTTGGCCTGTATGGATTTCCTAGAAGGAGAGCAGTTCAGAAAAGCCAAGTGTGAGTCGGCAGCGGGGACTTTGTCCGCACGGTCGCCCTCCGAGCACTCTGACGCCCTGAGCTTCCTACAGGAAGTCCACAGCTCAGTCACTGGCCTCGGAGGAGCAGGTGCGACGGACTGCGTGCTCCCATATTCCCACTATGGGGAGAGAGGAAACTCAGTCACCACAGGACGTGGCCACCACCCCCAGCGGGTACTCCGCTCTCAGAAACCATCACCTAAATCAAGCAGACTTAGCAACTATTAAAAAAAAAAAAAAAAACCTTGGCAACTACGACCCCCAGGCCAAATCCTGCCCACCACCTGTTTTTATAAATAAAGTTTTCTTGGCACAAAGCCACACCTGTTGCCTTCCATAGTCTCTATGAATGCTTGCATGTTATAATGGCAGAGTTGGGACGTTGTGACAATTCCCTCTGGCTGGCAAAAATGGGAGTATGTATTTGGTGGGCCCTCCACAGAAAAAGTGGGGCAAGCCCTGAAATAAAGTGAAGCCTGGTGCAGCTTTCTAGGGGGAGGAAGTCTGGCGATGGATAGCCGAGGGTTTAAACTCCGCCTCTAAGAATTGCTTCTCAGGACATAGTCAAGGGTCTGTGCCAAGACGGGGTTGAAACAAAGTCTACTCGCAAGATGATTATAAGAGCAAAAGTGCCCAGCGTCAGGGGACTCACGGAAGCGGTAGTGGCCGTCCGTGACGTGGACTTGCCTGTCACCTGTTAGAGTTGTGGGAACGCTGGTGGAAGGGACACCGGTACACCTCGGGAAACTGAGGCAGCCTTGTCCGGAGCTGACCGCACACAGTCGCTACCTGACACGGACCCGACAGAGCACAGAACAGGAAGCAAAGGGTGCAAAGATGAACACACTCAGCCATCATGTTCATCCCGGCCGCCATCTGAAAACTATCCCCACCCCCACTTAGAGCAGCAGCAAGAAAAACGGCACCAGGCTCAGAATGCAACGCTGTCATGACGCCACCTCAGGGGCACCCCACAGCACAGCACGGCGGGTCGCACCGTGGGGAGCCCCAGAGGAGGCAGGCGCGGCGCGAGTGGGTGTGTGTGTGCACCTGGGACAGGACCGCAGTTCCAGCAAGCAAACCTGATCTCCGGGCGCAGGCGGACGGTGCCACGGGGATGTCTCCTGCCGGGAGGCGGGGCCAGCAGTGATTCATCAGGGGCCCAGCGGAGCTTCCTAGGAGCTCAGGATGTCCCAGGGCCACACGGTGGCGGTCACCACCCTGTGTACACCAATCTACCACACACCCAAGATTTGGGCACGTTTCTGTACTGACATGCCACTGAAAACGTCAGCAAAGAAGCAAAGCAAACACGTGACGGGCCAATGTCTAACCAGCAGGGTGCCAGGTGAGAAGAGCCAGCCCTGACGTCATGTTCACGGGCACAACATACGTGTGTGTGTTTCTGTGTGTCTGTTTGGGAACCCGTATGCACGTAAATGCATACTCGTTTGGATGGCAATAATGAGCTTTGGAGAATAGTTCTGTGATGATTTTAATAATATTTCTTGGCTGGCGCCGCGGCTCACTAGGCTAATCCTCCGTCTTGCGGTGCTGGCACCCTGGGTTCTAGTCCCGGTCAGGGTGCCGGATTCTGTCCCAGTTGCCCCTCTTCCAGGCCAGCTCTCTGCTGTAGCCCGGGAGTGCAGTGGAGGATGGCCCAAGTGCTTGGGCCCTGCACCCCATGGGAGACCAGGAGAAGCACCTGGCTTTTGGCTTCGGATCAGCATGGTGTGCTGGCCACAGCGTGACGGCCTCAGCGGCCATTGGAGGGTGAACCAACGGCAAAAGGAAGATCTTTCTCTCTCTCTCTCTCTCTCTCTCTCTCTCTCACTGTCCACTCTGCCTGTCAAAAAAATTTTTTTAAACAAAATTTTTTAAAAAATTTAAAAAATAATATTTCTTGTCTCTGCATTGAATTTTTCCCTTCCATAGCCGTGCATGGATCCTCTAGCTAAAATGATGTGTATTATCTGTGTGCACACAAAGTCCTTGATGGGCTGGGGTAGCACTACTGACACAGTGGAGAGAAGTAGACAAGGCGAGCCCGTGAGCCAGCCCCCTCTACCCCGAGGCCTCAGGCAGTCTGCCCCGAGCGCAAAGTCTGCACAGACAGCAGGGCGGGGCCCTGAGCAAGACTGCCCCGTCACAGTCCCAGCCCTCCAACCGTCTGCACCAGAGCCATGTGGCCGTCGCGTACTTGGCTTCTCATGTCAGTTTCCTGAGCTACAAAACGTTTGAACAGCCTCAATCGTCGTCGATATTAAGGAAGGCAAAACTCTCTACCAATCTCACAACTTGCCGCACACGTGTGTTCAGCACTCAGTAAACACAGCCAGTACTCGACATTCATAGTTGGTTCCCATCATATACACTTAGCCCTCTGCACCCAACAGCCACACAGCCACCGCTTCAACGGTACTGCTGGAGAGAAACTGCAGCTGTACTGAGCACGAGCGGACCCTGTTTCTTTTCGTTATCCCCTAAACGATACAGCAGACCCTGTTTCTTTTCGTTATCCCCTAAACCATACAGCAGACCCTGTTTCTTGTCATTATCCCCTAAACCATACAGCGGACCCTGTTTCTTGTCATTATCCCCTAAACGATACAGCGGACCCTGTTTCTTGTCGCTATCCCCTAAACGATACAGCAGACCCTGTTTCTTGTCATTATCCCCTAAACCATACAGCAGACCCTGTTTCTTGTCGCTATCCCCTAAACCATACAGCAGAATGGCTGTTTGCATGGCATGCGTGCTGCAGGAGGCTGCAAGTGACGCAGAGGGGGTTGGAAGCACACAGGAGGGGGTGGTGGGCTCTATGCAGATACTACTTTGGCATCCTTGGCTGTTGGAACCCACAGGGGTCCTGGGACCACTCCCCTGTGGATACCCAGGGATGACGGGCTGTATGATCATCACCGGGAACCCAGTGACCAAGGTTACCACTCCCCTGTCGTCCTCCACCTGTTACCCAGAAGACCTGTGGGTTGCTTTGACCCAGAGACCGGAAATGCAAGATGCTGGCACGGTCCACCACGGTGAACCAGAGAACCAGGCCACGTTGCCGACGGCAACAGGAACCAAGACAACGCCCCCCAAGGGTCCAGGCCCACACAGGGGCGGGGGGCTGTGTTTTCAGGCTGCTCCTGGAGTTGTCTGCAGAGTGCGGCCCCTGGTGGACACAGCGAGAACAGGTGGTGTCTGTCGCATGGTGACCACAGCAGGGGGTGCAGCCAGGAGGGGTTTAAAAACCCCAGGCCTTAAGGAGTTTACAAGACCTAATAAAATGCTGGGTACCCCCCCAGGACAGCGCTGCCCTCCGGAAGCCCTCCCCTTCCTGCACTTCATGACCATGTAAGTCCTGCACGCACACTGCCGACTGTACGTCATCGCAAGCCCTTGACACCGTCGCCCTACAAGTGCCTGCAGCTCGTTCAGGCCAGCCTAGGAATGGGAGGAACTGCTCAGAGAGGGTTTCCCTGCCGCTGTGGCTGAGCAAGCGCCAAACACTGCCGAGTCTGTCCGCAGGCGCGGGCGGGGCTCCTTAAGCACCACTGCCCCAGAAATGCCAGCCGGCCTCTCTGGCTGTTCCTAGCAGGTGGGACCGCAGACACGGTGCACAGCGCCCTCTTGTGGAAAGACTTGCAAATGCTGTCCGTGGTGAGCTGGAGCAGGTGAGATGCCATAGAGACCCACCTGGTTCACCCTGCAATCAGCCGGCCCTGGTCAGTCAGGCTTGGTGCCTGTGCTATTCAGGGCGCTCTATTTTCAGTACTTAACCCTGAGTGACATAAATCCTAACATCCCACAGCAGTGTGTGTATTGTTTGCTTTGCTTTGCGTGCTGAGAAAACCAATGCAATTTCCAACTTACCTTATTTCACTTTGATAACTGGATTCTGCAGAGGAAGAAAAAGAGACAAAATCACATGAAGGCAATCCAGACACCACGACACATCTTCTACAAATAAAATGGCACTGACTCCAATAGCCCTCGGGCTGCTATTTGACCCAATCATTGTATTAAGTTGCCCCACAACAAATCATCCAAGGGCTTCCAGACATAACCAAAGCACAATGCCCTATTAGCTATCAGGAAAGTCGATAATCCTTGGTACTCGACATACGTGGGCATCCAGTCAATACTCAGTGAGTGCTGAGTTCAAAGAGATAAGGAAGAGAGAGTCCCACTTACCCAGGCACCGCTGCCACTGGTGCAGAACTCACAGTGCAAAGCGTTAGCTCAAGTCGTTGTTGCAACAGCCCCAGAGGCTGGCATTCCTGGCCGCACAGTTTAACACACTACACACTGTCTCGTGAGCAGTACTGTGGTGCTGAGAATCAGTCTGAATCCATAGGCACCGGCTACACCCAGGCACACAGCTGTGCCCTCCCCACCATGCAACTGACAGTGTCCAGGGCCAGCTGGAATGTGAAGATGGCACAGCAAGCCCCCAGCGTCTGTCTCCAGAGCCTGTGACCATCAACACGGCTCCCTGCCCTGGCCCTGGACACACCCCGCTCTCCTGAGGTCTGAAAAATGCCCATGTCCCTTACTTTGTAGGTCCGGCCACTCCCTCTCTGCTCTAATCACATCTGTCCATTGACACCCGTGGCCATGCACAGAGGGCTGCCTGCCAGGTCTCCCTCCCCCAGGGCCCTCCGGGGAGTGGCTGTGCTCCCGTGGTGGGGGCAGGGGACGGGAGGGGTGGCCCCAGTCGCTTCCCTCCTTCCTCCTGCTCTCTGCCTGTCCCAGGCTAGAGGCCAGGCTGAGCACGCCCTCGGCCATTCCCAGCAAGTCCCCAGTTCACCAGGCAGAGCACCAAGACTTCCTCCAGGTACCAGGCGAGAACCCTGTGAGGCCGGCCGTCTCCCGTCAGCCTCCTCACGAGGCCAGCATGAGAGCTGTGGGAAGCAGGACCAGCTCGCTGGTGCTGAGCCCTAGCAAGGACAAACAGGGAACAGGGGCTAGGGCAGGGGTTAAGCTGCTGCCTACAACACAAGCGTGCCAGACCCGAGCACTGGCTCACATGCCAGCTCCTCAGCTCCCGATCCAGCTCCCTGCTAATGCACCTGGGAAGAAGCGGAGGGTGGCCCAAGGAACTGGGCCCCTGCACCCACGTGGGCGACCTGGATGGAGCTCCAGACCTCCTGGCTCCCGCCTGGCCCAGCCCTGGCTCCTGTGTTCATCTGGGCAGTGATCGTAGATGGGAGATAAATCTCTCTCCATCTCTCTCTCTCTCTCTCACACACTCTGCCTACCTTTACATATAAGTAAAGTTTAGCAGTTATGGAGGAGGGACCTCACACGCATGCGCCTGAACGCAAGGACACTCGCAAAGTCTCTCCCAGAGCCTCCACAGAGGCTGCCCCAGCGTACACAGCAAACACTTTGGCCACGAGGTTGCCCGGCAGCTGCCAGTGCACCCTTGCAGCCAAGGGCGATTGTTTCAAATAACCCCCGTCGCCCTCCTTGTCTGGCCCTTAACCCTGCCTCGTCCTCCGTGAGCCCACGCGGTGGGGGCTACCGCACCTGCACTCCCCCTGCAAAGCTGCCCCTGGGCGAACCTAAGTTGCCTTTGGAGAATCTCTCTCTGCTTGGGACGACGCCAGGCTGGGGAAGAAAACCCCCAAGGGGAACAGATTCCTCCAGTGACTCCGAAGGCACAGGAGGGCTCTATGTTGCGCTCTCTTACAGCGGCAGCCACTCAACAGCTCAGTGACAGCCCAGTGTGTTCCACTGGAGTGCGCCCCCTGGCGTGCGGGGTGATTTGCAGTGAAAAATCCCCATCTGATCTGGGTCAACAGGAGTCTAACACGGCTCCATTTCTGCTTGTCAGGGACTACAGGTGTTGCACACAAGTAATCTTCCAATCACAGATCAGATCGACAGTGGCGCTAAGTCCAGACCATGAACCTCATTAAGGCGTGTTTGACATGGAAGATTATATTTATAAAGCTTTATTTATTTATTTGAAAGGCAGAGCTACAGAGAGGCAGAGGCGGGGGAGAGGGGCTTTCCGTCTGCTGGTTCACTCCCCAAATGGCCACAATGGCCAGAGCTGGGCCAATCTGAAGTCAGGAGCCTGGAGCTTCTTCCAGGTCTCCCACACAGGTACAGGGGCCCAAGCACTTGGGCCATCCTCTGCTGCTTTCCCAGGCCATTAGCAGAGAGCTGGATTGGAAGTGCAGCAACCAGGACTAGAACCGGTGCCCATATGGGATGTCAGTGCCGCCGTCAGAGGCTCTGCCCACTACACCACAGTGCCGGGCCCAACATGGAAAATTCTTGAAAACAGCAGTCCTGTGTGGAAGAGCCCTGTGCCTGACACCCAACTTGTCCGTCACGTGGCAGTTAGCGTTCATAAATGAAAAGTGAGTGTCAGCTGACGCGCAGCCTGGCAGCAAACCACCGCTCTCAAGAAGAAAAGTGTGACCCAGGAAACACTCGAATAGGAGTGGGTGACGCTTTCACAAGAGAAAAAAAGACACAAGCACACACCCTGTGCCTGGATGTCCTGGGCCATCCACGTGACCAAGCACACTCTGGCTTCGGAAGTCACAAACCCCAAACTCTATGACGAGCCCTCCCCAAGACTGAGGACTGCATCCCACTCCTGACCCCAAACCCCAGGCGAGGCCGCTGCTCTCCTACAAATGGGATGTCTCGGAAGACTTCAGGGCAAACACTTGTGTGGGGGGCCGGCTCTGTGGCGTAGCAGGCTAAGCCTCCACCTGTGGCACCGCCATTTCATATGGGCGCCGGTTCGAGTCCCAGCTATTCCACTTCTGATTCAGCTCCCTGCTGTGGCCTAGGAAAGCAGTGGAAGATGGCCCAAGTGCTTGGGCCCCTGCACCTGCATGGGAGACCTGGAGGGAGCTCCAGGCTCCTGGCTTCAGTTTGGCACAGCTCTGGCCATTGTAGCCATTTGGGGAGTGAACCAGCAGATGGAAGACCTCTCTCCCTCTCTCCTTCTGTAACTCTCTCTCTCAAATAAAATCTTAAAAAAAAAAAAAAAACACTTGTTTGGTGACTCGTATAATTTGCACTACTTTTTAGGCAAAGCCCACAGTTTTCTTTCCACCACTACAGGAGCATCCACCTACAAAGGGGAGATTTAAACTCCTCCTGTGCTCCGAAGGGCAGTTCCTGTTCTAGAAATGACACAGGATGACAGCCACACACCCCGGCATAGTTATGAAAGTCAGAAGACGTCACTCCTCCCCCTTGTCACGCATGTGAACATCTTGATCTTCCTGGGGGGTGTGGAGGGGGGGAACAGGACCCAAAGGAACCACCTCCTTCCTCGGAACGTCCTCTCTCCGGGGCGGGCCGGTCTGGCCGAGCGAGCGGCTGAGAGCCCACATCCCAGAGTGCCCGAGCTGCAGGCCAGCTGTCCTCCCGATTCCAGCTTCCTGAGGGTGCACACCGGGAGGCTGCGGTGACGGCTCACGAAGCTCCTGGGTCCCGTGACGGAGTTCCCGGCCCAGCCCTGCCTGCTGCGGGCGTCTGGGCAGTGAGCGAGCAGATGGGAGCTCGCAAGCACTCAGCTGGCTTGCTCTCTGCCTCTCAAAACACAGTAAAATAATCCACTAAAGATTCCTTTAAAAAATAATTCCCTTCCCTATGCATTTCCTATGGCTCCCTTTAAGGACTCTAAAGACCAACGCACCTGTTGTTTGGGGTGTTTTGCTCATTTGTGATGACAATGGTCTTCCCCAGCTATATGAAGGCATGCCTGACAAAGCCGTGTATATATATATGCGCAATGTGCTGATCTGATAGACGTACGTATTGTGAAGTGACTCCTCTAAACTAATTAATATACCTAACACTTCCACCACTTCGTATCTTGCCCATTTTGGCCAGAACACATAACATCTGTTTCCTTGATAATTTGCGATGCATCATTCTCAACGACAGTCACCGTGTTGCACAACAGGTCTCCAGCGCTCACTCCTCCTGGCCAAGTGAAACTTCGCCCCCTTCAGCCAACGCCTCCCCTGCTGCCCCCGCTTCAGTCTCCGTAGATTGCGCCTGAGATCGCCCAGCTGTCCTGTCTCTCTGCTTGCTTATCTCTCTCAGCACAACGCCTCCTGGATTCCTCCCTGTGGCTGCCCATGGCACAGTCTCTTTCTTACGGCCAAATGGCATTCCTGTATTCGGGTACACGTGACTGTTCTTTACCCATTCGGCCTTTGATGGACGTTTCTGTCGGTTTCATACGTTGTTTGTTGTGAATGATTCTGCAAGGGAGGCATGAGACCAGCTCTCTCTCCGACATCCTGACTTCTTTCTGGGAAGTACATCCGGAAGAGGGATCGCCGGATCATAGGGTACTTCCATTTTTAATTTCTTGAGGAACCTCCATACTGTTTTCCATAATGGCCACATACATTATAACATAATATGCACTTCATATTCCTATCAAATGTGTACACATTTCTCTACATTCTCATCACTAGTTGCTGTCTTTTGTCTTTTTGATAATAATCATCCCGGCAAGTGTGAAGTGAAATCTCAACATGGTTAATGTACAAAGGAGCTTCAGAAGTTCATAAAAATGGAATTAAAAGATAATTTTACTTTAGTGAAAACTTTGTTGAAATCCATGCATTCCGAGTGACCTTCTAAAAGTCCATGAAAATTAATATTATGAAAAAAAACTATGTAAAGATCTTTATATTTTCTGCCCCCAAATCAACTTGTCTTTTAATTCCATTTCCCGCAAATGTTTGAGGTACCCTCATATCTTGTGAAAAATTGATGAGCTATTAATTTAAGCGCTTGTACCAAAGATTCAAAAACCACATAGAAATGTATATGAACAAAAATATTACCTTTTTTTTCTTTCCCGGAGACACAACAGCAGCAGAATATTATAATCAGAACAATGATCAGGATCAAAAGCAGTGACAGTGACACAGCAAGCAGAACTATGGCCCAGGTAGGCAGGGACGTGCCTGGCTTATCAATACTGCCTATAAGGTCGAAAGGAGGAAATGTTTTAGTGTCACAGATTCTGTTACATGACAAATTATTTGCCTTGCGATGGCCGACTTCCCTTCACATGTTCAAGTATCCGGCACTCCACAGTTCCGCCCACGGCAATACTCGCGGCCCCCAGCAAATGCGTGCGTGGTCCCTCGCCCTAGCATCAGTTGGTCAACACCTCTGACGTTCCTGAGAAGCAGCTAAGACTGGGCAGGTATGACAGCCCCCTAAGTGCTGTGCTGGGTGTGGCTTGTCTCCCAGAGTGCCTGTCCTGGAGGCTTGGTCCCCAAAGCGGTGGTGTTAGCAAGTAATGGCATCTTCGGTAGAGGGAGCTCCACTAAGAGGCGGGGCCCAGCAGAAGGTGGGTGGGTCGCTGAGAGCCCCACCCACCCACCCAAGAAGGGGTTAGTGCACTTCCTGGCAGCCCAGTTAATTCCTGCAGATGTGAATTCCTATAGAAGACTCCCGCTGGCTTCCTGTCTCACTGTGTGACCCTCTTCCAGGAGAATCCCCGCCCACCCTCCGGGAGGTGCGGGCTGCGCTGAGAGAAGCTGGCGCCCTGCACTTGCACCTCCAGAGCTGTGAGCTAACCTCTTCCCTCTGCGTCCTCCCTGCCCCTGGGTACAGCAACAGAAAACACAGAGACCCCAAGGCTTCGCACTAAGACACCTTCGCCACGCTCTGGTCCCTCGACTTAGCCCAGGGACAGCCTCTGAGACACAGGACTGGGAGACTGGCACGTGCCGCTCGCTTCCTTGTCCCCACCCACTGAGAGCCCGGAGCCCGAAGCAAATAAGGGCAAATTAAGGGAGGGTCACTTCTAAAGGCCCTCGGGGCGTGGCTCTGGCACATGCCCCCCCCCCACCTAGCTCCAGCACAGGATCTGTTGCCCGCCCTCTCTCTCTGCTTTTCCCTCCAGCAGCCACCTCGTTGGTGCCGTCCTCCCACTCATACTTGATCCAGTAGTCATGGAGACACAGGAGCAGGCGGGAAATTAAAGGAAAGTAGAAAAGGAGAGAATGAGAGAAAATTTCAGTCTGACTTTTTGCTGCTGTGTCTTAGAGCTCTCCAGTACTGGCTTCATGTGCGCATCCACACTCAAGCTTCAGTTAACTGAAATAACGCACAACGAAGCATCCAGGCATGGCCACCATACCTAGTGCTCAATTGCCAGGATTTAAATGTTGCCACCACCATCATCACCATCACCACCATCACCATCACCATCACCATCACCACCACCACCATCACCATCATCATCACCACCATCACCATCACCACCACCATCATCACCACCACCATCATCACCACCACCATCACCATCATCATCACCACCACCATCACCATCATCATCACCACCACCACCACCACCATCACCACCACTATCACCATCACCACCATCACTATCATCATCACCACCATCACCATCACCACCACCATCATCACCACCACCATCATCACCACCACCATCACCACCACCACCACCACCATCACCACCACTATCACCATCACCACCATCACCACCACCATCACCACCACCACCACCACCACCATCACCATCACCATCATCATCACCACCATCACCATCACTACCATCACCATCACCATCATCACCACCACAATCATTACCATCATCACCGCCACCATCGCCACCATCACCATCATCACCACCACCATCATCACCACCATCACCATCATCACTATCACCATCACCATCATCACCATCATCACCATCACCATCATCATGACCCCACATGGGTGGCAGTGCCCCAGCCGATAGCACGCATTAGCTGCATAGATTCCCAGGACAGCCCTCACTCAGCATTTTGCTGTGATCTCAAGCCAAGCCACATTTAAGTGGATCCGTTTAACTGTGAAGCGCCATTCACCAAGCCTGTCACCCAACGCTGAGTGCTTGTCGGCATCTGGGTGTGAATATGTGTGCTGTTTTGTTAGGTGCTAGTGGCTAGAAAAATGGAAAGGGAGGCTAGTATCATGGTGTGGTGGGCAAAGCCACCACCTGCACGCTGGCATCCCATGTGAGTCCCGGCTGCTCCGCTTCCAATCCAGCTCCCTGTTAAGGTGCCTGGGAAAGCAGCAGAAAGTGGCCCAAGTGCTTGGGTCCCTGCACCCACTAAGGAGACCCAGATGAGGCTCCAGGCTCCTGGTCCAGCCCTAGCCATTGCAGTCATCTGGGAGTGAACCAGCAGATGAAAGATCTCTCTCTCTCTCTCTCGCTCTGTGTGTGTGTGTGTGTGTCTTCCTCTCTCTATCTGTAATGTTGCCTTTCAAATAAATGAATAAATCATAGAACAAAAAGAAAAGATGAAAACAGCAGATTGCCTCAGAAGAGCATAGGACGAACATTGAAATCAGTGTCTGGCCAGCAGTTTGGAATTAGAGGTCAGAATAGAAAAGCAGCTCTTATATGTTCTTTCTTCGGTTTTCCTTGAAACCTGACCTGCCAGCTACAATTTCGAATGCGAATACTCAGAATGAGCTGTGGGAACGCCTACAATCGTCAACCACCCGGATGCTGGCTCACGGGTGAGGAATCGCCTGTGGAATGAGCCACAGGCTTGTCTGAAAGCAGGCGCTGAAATCCAGGGAGCTCTGCTTTGAAACATTTTATCAGATAAAAAGGTATTTGTCTTTTGCCCTTGATGCAGAGTTTCTTGGCACTACCTGAGATGGTTTTTAAGTTTTCCTTCTAAGGCTTTAAGAAATGAACAATAATTCTGACATTTTTTAACATGTCACACGCAATGCCATCTCAAATATTTATAAAATCAGCTGCTGTTGCTTGTAATTCTTCTAATGTATCTGTGACTGTCTAAACTGGACATAGTTCCCTAAGATCCGAGATGATATCTTATTTTTCCTAGACCCCAAGAACATGGCACATGTGAGGCAGGACAGATGGATGGGTGGGTGGACAGATTAAGAGGCTGGATTGCCTCTGACTACGTGGACGAGGGAAGCCTGTGCACCATCTGCAGCTGAAACAGGCCTAGACCTCACCTTTCTCCACTATTAAGATGCCCAGAGCAGGTGCGTAGCATCCAGAAAACCAAACTACTTTCCTCATGCCGTCTACCTCCACATCACCTGCTATCTTTCTGAGATGAGCTGGGGTGGATAGAGACAGGGAAGGGTTTCCTAGAAGAAAGGTAAAAAGAGAAAGGTCTCAGGACCACACGTACGCTTCCCATGTCACAACTCACTGGACGTGAACCCTAATGCAGTCCAGTCCCTCACACCCAGGCAGCAAGCTCAGCCCCTTGTGCCCAGAGAATCAGGAATGCGTTTGCACCTGCAGCGACCAGAGTCAGGGTGTGGGATAGACTGCCCGTGACGCTAGGGCAGGTGCACGGTGGCCCACGTTTTGAGAACCTCTGTGGTGCTGAAGAAAACCTCACACTACAGGCCACTCCCGTAAGCCACTCCCCCAGATACTATAATGCAATCATCAAGCCTAGAACGGCGATGGTGATATTTGAAACTGGAGCTGAAATTCAGACCACTGTCAGGAAGGTTTGTGGAGGACAAGAACTTGGTGTCAACACAAGCAGGTAAATGGCACGGCTACTGTTTTCTTGTCACTGAGCCTTCGGCCTCTGGCTAGCTCACGGGTCACAACTCGAGCCGTATCTGGCTGTGCTGAGACTTGAGAGATGGGTGTGAGTGTCCTGAGAATGCCGGGAGGTGCAGTGCACGCGTCCCAGTGCCTCCAGTTCAACACACTCTTTCACAAACTGAAGTCTGTGATAGGACAAAGCTCCCTACTAAGGAAGTCATTCGGGGTTAAACATTAAGAGCTGGCTCAGGATTCGGGAAGTGGCCTTGACGTCCTCCCTGGCCTAAAGCAACGTGACTGTTGGCTCCCTCACACCCTCCCCACCAGTGGCCTGCTACTGGGAAGGGAAATACTAGAATCTTTGCCTTCTGTCAACAGCCTTGACGTAACAACCTCTCCTCCAGTGTGGCCCAGAGAGCGCAGGCCTGCTTTGTCTTTAGGGAGTGCCTGTTGACAGGAAGGGGGAGGCGGGTCCTGTTGGGGCTGACGACTGGACCAAGGGACAGATGAGGTGATATTGCTTAAATGTCCAAGTTCAGCAAGTACTGCCCCAAGCTCCGGCCACAATGGCCAGTGGCATCAGAGGCCATGCACCTGTTCTCTGTCCACCTGCCCTCTGTGACCAGGCTCCAGTGGGAGCCAGATCCTCCGTGGATTTCACACTCGGAGGGGCTCAAGCCTGAGTCCCCTCGGGAGGACAAGCCACGAGGCCTGAATTAGCATGGGAGCCACGCAGCTGAGCCTTTATCATTTAATCGTGAGTTTGAGTTTACTGTTTTATGCGTGTGTACACCCATGCATATGTATCATGGATTTTTTCAAGATAAAGCAAATTTGTTTGTAATGAGTGTCTTTACAGTAGGTTGGGAAACAAAGAATTATAGTCATACACTGAAAAACCAAAAATGGTGATGGTGGACAGAACACCTGGAACCTTGGAACAACCTCATCTGTAAGCCAGTCCTGTACGCGGGCAGATGAGACGCACAGGACCAGAGACCAGGGAAACGGACCGGGGCTGCTCAGCACGGGGTCCTGAGCCTGCATTACACCTGCCATGCATCCTCTCCAGTGCGGAAGGTCCCTCCTCAAAGGATATGGCCCAGGTCTTTAAAAAAAAAGATTATTTATATAAGATGCAGAGTTACAGAGAAAGGGAGAGACAGAGAAAAACAGTGACACTCCCCAGTGATCGCAACAGCCAGAGCCGCACCAATCTGAAGCCAGGAGCTTCTTCTGGGTCACCCACGTGGGTGACAAGGGACTCAAGGACTTGGGCCACCTCCTGTTGCTTTCCCTGGCACGTTCGCAGGAAGCTGGACTGGAAGTGGATCAGCCAGGACTCGAACCGGCACCCATATGGGACAACACAGCAGGCAGCAATTTTACCAGCTACGCCACAGTGCCAGC